AGCTGGGCAATCAACCGATGCTGGGATTGGGCTCAATGGCTGTCAGAGCCAAAACGTAGTAGAGGACCCCTCACCGATCAAGCTGCGAGAGATACTCGTGCCTTGGGGCTCGATCTAGAGCTGCGCAGACAACAACACAGAGACTGGTATTATGAGCACAACGACATTGCCGACAAAGATAAGGGAATCTGAGACCGACGGGACGACAAGCCTGTGTCTCAGTGGTAAGACCGCTAGACTCCTATCCAACAGAACGCGGGTTCGAGCCTCAGGGGTCTCAAGACAGAGTTTGGATATGACTGGCTGATGAGGGTCAATAAGCCAGAAATGGCCGTTTCGGTCTCCTTTGTCTTTGACGGCAACGCCCATCTCTGTGTGCCATGCACGGCCTGGCTCCCACACGGTACACCAGGTTTTCACACGACAGTATAGTCCCTCCTCTTTCTCTCTCTTGTTCTTTTTTTTTCTCTCTCTCTCTTCCCCACTCTCTCTTCTCAGGCATGACAATATTGTTAGCACGCGACCTGACCTCGCCAGTTGCTACTGTAGTCTGAGCCAGAAGGCATGGGTTCTGCGGGTAATAACCCCGTCTCCCATTCTGATGTCTTCCAGCTTCCAACGCTAACCAGGACTTGGTCGTTTGGTTGTTATTACCTAGGATGCACCCAAAGCCCAGGCCACAAACGCTACAGAGTTCGGCTGACTAGAGTGGTCTTTTTGCCATTTATTCCAGATCGACGATCCGAAGTTGCACAATTTCAGGGGGTGAACCATCGTGGACCATGCACGGACTAATAGTAATAAAAAGGATCAATGCACTGGGGCCGTTGACAGAGGCTGTGGGAGAAAGAGCGAATGAGCCACAATGTGATGGCGGGTGAAAAAATTGCGCTTCTTTGCTTTGTGCCATTTTAACAGGCGTTCGGGGCACGTCAAAACGGCCTGTGTCAATACAGCGCTTTGTGTGAACTGCCTCTGGGGGCGAAAACATTCTGCCACAAATTTGCTGCGCGTTTTGCGAAGTGGATGAGGCAATGGTTGATGCGCAAGCAACCCCTCAGTCGGATTCCTGTTCAAAACGCACTGTACGCATACAAAAAGAAAGTGGCAGCGAAGAAACTAGTGAGAAACTAGAGTGTTCAGAACCGTCTAGAGTGTGCATCCGGTGATTCCGGTGCTGTTGTAAAAGCAATTTACAAAGAACAGAATCCCAGGTCAATTTCATGAGGTCCGATGCTAAACCTTCGACGAATGGCATTCAGGTTCCAGGGTAAATCACCCTCAGAACGAACTCTCCCTCGAACAGTGCACCTTCTCAGTTAGTTTTTTAATGCCCGTATAAATTCTATTATCTCTTATGGGAAGGGTTTACAAACAAGCCCTTTCTTACACTCATGCTGAGACGATTTACGCATTTTCTAAACTTTGTCCTTGAAGGGAAGGATCGTTTGGTGGTGGATAAGTCGTAGATGTGCTTCAAAGGAGTATCCAAGAGCGTTGGAGACGATAGTAGGGGTGACGATGGTGCTGATGATGATGATTATGACGATGATGATGATGGTGGTGGTGGTGGTGGTGGTGGTGGTGGTGGTGGTGGTGGTGGTGGTGGCGATTGCGACGATGATTATGTGCCTACATAGGTTAGAATTCAGAAGAAGCCGCTGTGCGACTTTATTTGCCACCATTTCCAACCTTGCATAACTACTGCCTGATACTAATTTTCCCCGCCTCACGAGCGTTTGTCCTCCAATTCAGTGGGTCATAGTAAAATCATCAACCTCAAAATATACACAATTTACGACGGTAAATCCTTTGTCCTTGTTATTCTAAACGGCTTTACTCCGTGCTAAAGGCCTCGAAGGAGCATAAGCACGACTTCGTGTGTGCCTCCTATGCTCTCAGCGTTGAAACTTTCGAAAGTGCTAACACCAGATGACGGCAAATTGGCAGCATCCTGTCTTGAAAGTGCTCTTCCAAGCTGACAACTCCCCGGAGGCGATGATGCGATTCACAGATTCTTGTCGAAAAAGAAGACCGATATCGATCACCGAAGCAGGGAGCTCTCACACCCGCACGGCACCCCAGCACCGGATACCAGTAAGTCACGCTAACAACGGTAGAAAAAGGTCGACAGGGGAGGACTGAAATGGCCATGTATTTGTAGGGAATGGGTAGCTTTTGTGGCCTCCTCAGCTCGGCGCCCTCCCGTGTGTTTCCCTGGTCGAAAACTGGGTCGCGTCATTTGGCGGCGAGAGAGAGAGAGAGAGAGAGAGAGAGAGAGAGAGAGAGAGAGAGAGAGAGAGAGAGAGAGAGAGGAACTCGCTATATTTTGAATGCACAGATTAGAAATTTTCAGCAAAAAAAGGAGGTTCAATTCCATGTGGACAGAATATAGGTTAGCGAATTACTCAAGAGTTAAAAAGTCCTACACAGGAAGGAACGATCATTGTGGTGACAATTCAAGCCTCAGTTTTGCATTTCTGTCTCTTCGCACGTAACATTGCACGCCATGAATGGCGGTGTACGACAAGAGGTAGGTCAAAAGCCACGGCGCATGGTGCGGGAGGACTTCGCAGAGATTAGATCAGAATGTAGGGGATGGACAACGTCATCCAGAATTCGACTAGCAAATTGCTTCATCGTATTGAAAGGTTGTTGTATGATAATATCGACTAAGATGACATAAAAAACGCCGGCGACAGAAGACAGCATTCGGGGACTCGTTTTATAATTAGCATATCTTTTTTAATAAAGCAGGAAAAATGACAGGAGAGCGATAAAGAATGAGAGGAAAAGTGCGGGCACCTATAAATCGTCAGACTAAGGGTTGATGTGTGTTGTAGGAACGTAAACGACGAACGTAGTAAAGAAGTTGATAAACTTAGTAGAAAGGGTCTCAACATGGAGGGACAATGAAAGCTTTGATGACAAAGTAACACCAAGGTACCTGAAAGAGGATGTCTCCTTGCGGAGGACGTCAAAGATTTAGGACTAGGAGAGGGTCACCGCATGTGATAGGCAGGGGGGCGTGTAGGTTCTATCCAGAAAAACTTGTAGTGATGAATTCACCAGGAAAGAGCATGTCTATACAACCAAAAAATTTGCCGCATCCGAGGGGATCGACCCGTTCTCCTCCCCCCTCCCCCGAAACTGTCTTGAGTGGCGTTGCATTGGATGGAAGACACACCTGCAAATTGTGAAAGCCCCGCCTCCCAAATCGAGTCTTACATTTTTTGCTGGTTAGGCTGAAATACGATCACACCCCGACCGTGCTACTTCTCGTGAACGCGCAACCCCCCGACACTACTCTAATCTCATTTTTAATGCTGTTCGTAATGCCTGCGAGTACGCTACCAGCTGCACCAAGCCCCAGTCATGCCATCCATATTAACGTGCACATTTCTAAACTATTCATTTCCTACTGGATTGAACACGAGAATACGGACCCTCCAGTATCACAAGTGGCCTTTACCTAATCCCTAGGGGGGGGGGGGATTGGGGTTAATATTAGAAGTGTTAGACTTAGTGTTAGGACCAGGGTTACGTGGGTTGGGAGGAGGGTTTAGTTGAGGTTAGGATTGAGTTTATGCGGGCTAGGGTTAGTTCAATGGGAGTTGGTGTTTGAGTTACAGTCAGGATTAGGTTGGTTAGTTTTAGTGTCAGAGTTAGGACGGGGAAAAAGGGACTGCTGGAAGTTGACGCGAGGCCACCTATAATACTGACGGGTTCACATCCCCGTGTCGGACCAACTGGTGAATCTGACTCATAGAAACACAAATCCTTATGATTGAATACTGAACTATGTCAGTAGATGTAAATTTGCATAATGTTACCGTACATATTTACCACATTGTCTTCCAGCACGTCTTAATGGCGTGTGCTGCCAGCAGGCAAGTAAGTAGGATGGACATACTTTCAGTTTTATCATTTTCGGGACAGATAACTGAACGTAGGCTGAACCACTCTAGTCTAAGGGGATAAATATGATGAACATACTGTGGGGGGTATTATTTTTTAAGTGGATAACCAGATGCAGACGTCTACCCGACGAAGGTGGGCATCAGTCAGATAAGCATGGGTTGCAAGGCTGGGGATGGAAGTGGGGGATATAGTCACAATTGAGTCTGGCCAGCTATTTTGTGGAGATAGTAAGGTAACTGATAGAAGCGAACAGGCGAGTTCCAGGTAGCAGTTCAGAAGACGAAGATGCGATCACTGGCACAAGAAATTTATTGGCCTGACGTTTCGGATTCTCACTCGAATCCATCATCAGAGGCATTCGCAAATAAAGGTGATGGTGGCACAAGAAGTGCAGTATTGCCGTGATTTCGTCATCCGTGCTGGATGCTGGTGTGACGATTACTCGGCAAATTGACTCACCAGCATCCAGCACGGATGACAAAGTCACGGCAATTAACGACCCGGACTCGGACGGACGAGCCACCACCGCATCAATAACGACCCCAGCGGTGATTGCGAGAGCTGTTAATTACAGTGTGCATACGGTCCCACGGCAGCCACGTGTTATAAATACTGCAGTCCTTGTGCCACCATCACCTTTATCTTCGAATGTCTCTGATGATGGATTCTAGTGAGAATTCACAACGTCAGGCCAATAAATTTCTTTTCCCAGTGATCGCATCTTCGTCTTCTGTATGGTAAGGTAAATCTCTCGTGAATGCGTTCTTACACATCCCCCAAGAGCAGTTTTAGCTACTTGCAAACGTCTGGCGCATTACCAAGGGCAGTTATGTTTGGTTTTTTTCGGAGGTGGTTTCCAACTCTCACGATGTGAGCTGGCTCTCTGCTGTAGCCGTCTCTGCTGATAGCAAATCTAATTTCTTCTCTGAATCATCAGATTAGTCACTGGATCCGGGCACCTAGGGATTCTTTCAACCGGACAACTGCAGCATACCTTTATCAGAGGTACGATACCACGCCCAGTAAGGCAGGGTTATTCCGTTGTGGCAGTGATGGTGGTGGTGGTGGTGATGGTGGTGGTGGTGGTGGTGATGGTGGTGGTGGTGGTGGTGGTGGTGGTGGTGGTGGTGGTGGTGCACTTATTATCTTTACACCGTTCGTCAAGGTGTAGGAGGGTCATGCGGACTTTGGACCCGGGGTCGGCCGCTTTCAGACGGTGCACACCTCCACCCCTACGGCGTCTCCGTTGCCGGACTCGCTTTCTGTCATCGGTTGGCCGCAAAACCCTCCGGATGTGTATCATGTTGCACTCCAAATGAAGGAAGGAGACCCCCACCTAGGTGGAAGGCATCTGAACAACGGCCATCTGTCAGTAATTGGCCCTTTCACCGGAAGTTTACTAACAAATGTAGACTTGCGTGGAGAGAGGGGGAGTACGCTAGATGTTGAAGCTGAGCCGCCACCGCGGCATGTAAAGGCAGTAACCAGTGCCTGTGGAAAATTACACTGCGTGCGTGTGTGAGTGTGTGTTGTGTGTGTGCGTGACTTTTTAATGACACGACGACACAAGTGTCTGTTTCGGCTTTTTAGATACTCAGAGATTAATGCGTAAACTTGGAGTAAATCTCTCGGGTAAGATTTTTTCAGACTCGACCCAGAAGTTGCTACCAGTACTCGAGCCTACAACCCTAAGCTTCCGCAGGAGAGAAAAAGACTCGTGTCTTGAATTATGGGATGACTTTCCAAGTTGAGACCCGTGAGCAAGTCCAGACAAGACGGCATTAATATGGACACGCCGTTGAGGCAAAAAGTTCCCCTGGCACGGGTGGTCACCCGCACCGTTCGGTACCCTCCCCCCCTCCCCCCGCTTTTGACGAGTGTTAGTCTTAACCCACAAATTGGTTGATGATACATCCCACCCCAGGGTTCTGCAAACTTAAGGTCTAAGATGGCTGGTTGATGACGGGTAAGAAACCAAAAAATGCCCATTTCGGTCGCCTTTGTCTCTTTCGATGTCGCCATCCCAGCATATACTATTAATCGCTATAGGTCTACCTGTTAGGGCTTTGGATCGAACCCCAAAGGCGCAATGGAACGAGTAGGTCCAGTAACCCAGTCGGTGAACGTCCGTTCCACAAAGTCCCGGTTTAAGCTGTCAGTACAACGAGTTCGTAACTCTATTAGCAGAGCGTTGGACTACCTAGATGGCCAAAGAACCCCGGTTCGAATCCCAGGTCTTGTAAACCTGGGGTTGGGTTATGATGGCTGACGTCGGCTTATAAGCCAGAAATGACTCTCACAGTCTCCCTACTATTTGTCGGCATCTCCTTCTCAATAACACCTCTTCCGTTTTACGGAAGGCATACTTTTTGGGTATCCGGGTCAGTCGGATGACCAGTTCCCGCGCCAACCGAAGGAAACATGAAGTTCGAACGATGAGTCGGTGAATAGTCCTAGCAATTTGACTATGCGTAGAAAAATCAATAACGCGACTGAAATTCCGTCACGGCGAAGGGCAGTTTAGCACAAACCGACGTCTATTCTTTGTTTTCCCTCGAGTGGGAGTCTGAAATATCGCATAGGCAAACTATTCGATCCATAAAATATCCCGTCTTGTTACCACATTTGCTTAGCTTCTTGGGCCTCTTGTGCTCTGTACCCTTCCAAATCAGTTTAACCATATTCATAAATTAAGACCGATCTTGTCAGTATATATATATACTATCTACATTAGTCCGTTTTCCTGAAAAGGCAGAGGTTTACTGATAGCACTCCAAGATAGAGAGGACGGGGATGTCGGGGCTCCTGAAGAAGCATCCTCGATCGGAACTGTGTGTCAAAACTTCCCCTCCCTCAAGCATAACATAGCACGTCTCCAAAAGCGTTTTTTTGAGGTCAATCCCCGGCCCACAAATTGCTCAACTGTCATGCTCCTTAGGCTTACACACTAGACGTCGTTAAATCGCAAAATGATTAATAAGCAGCTCCCTAACAGTTTGACAGCTATCTGATTAGGCATCTATCATTAAGCCATCACTGAGGCGTTTCCTGATTTCCCACGGGTTCATGGCTAAGAACTGCCACGCGCACGAAATCTAGCAAACTACCATTGCGCTGTTTCCATTGGCTACGCTATCACCAAGTCTTCTAATTGATTTTCCGTATCGTCGTCGTTGGGTTCGGTGAATTTTAGCCCGTACGGACTGCGGGCCCGAACTTCGGGCATTCCCACGCCTCCCTAAAGGTCTATCCCACCTGCGCTACATTCGCACGCAAGGAATGCTTGCTTTTCGTATACAAAACATGATGCGCACACGCGTGCGATCAAGGCAACGTCAAGGCCACGGACACGTTAGCCAATCAGCATATCACAAGTATGACTTTATGTGGTCAATAGCCTATCAGCGTTGCAACCAGTTGGTCATTCCGTTGTATCGGCCGCTAAATCTCCGAGTAAGTAGCTGCATGAGTGCGTCCGTCTACACACGGCGTGCGTGTCCGTACCTTGTCGTACCCTTGCCACGCCGGCGTTCGAGCAGTTGACTAATCCTCACTCGTCCTACCCGACTTGACGAGACTTTGCACGCCACCGGCGTGGTTCTGTCTTGCCAAATCCGCTGGAATAGGCAGAAATGCTTACTCCCTAGCCACTCCGACAGGGCTGACTTTCCTCTCACGGGGCAGATTTGACAGGCTATCCGATTCAGAACACGTCAGCCCCGGAAAAAAAAACAGCAAAATACCAAAGAATTTCAGATAAAAAGGAGCGCCCGAGAATATCACAACTAGCTTTCATCTGGAAATCTACTTGTTAGTAAGGGATGACAGGAATTCAACTAAAGGCAAAAAAAGTCGGTACACAATTTTTAATTTTTTATCATGACAGACCTCAAGTGGTAAGTGGAATTGCCAAAAGTTGAGCCTTCACGATTAAGAATAAGAGCGAATAAGAAGCTGATTTGATTCTGATTTTAAATTGGTTTCAGCTTGTCAGATAGGCCTGAGACAGAATGGAGGACCTGAATAATGTGAGGTCTAGCAAGCCCAAAAATAAACTACTATTCATACCGGAATTGGTGCACACCGATCCACTGGTTTCCCAAGACAAAAAAACTTCCAATGCGCTGTGTGGATGTGCGTGTTTGTGTTTCTGGTCTCAGATGATGACCGGGAATGTGATCAGCGGAATGAAGGCGGAATAAATCCGAAGCAGTTCGGCATCAATTCACCCGCCTCTCTGTTGCCCCCCCCCCTCCCGCAGGAACTACTGGCTCATTAGCTGTTGTCATGCCACTGTCTGAGTGTGTCCGGACTTGGAGTTCCAGGACACAACAGGACGAGCACTTTTTGTACCGTAACCGGATCAGTGAGCCCCCCCCCCTTTCACACTAAGGAAGAAAAATAATATTTTTGCACATATGGGTACTACGGAGGTATGACTGTGTAAAAATTTGCAGAGGAGAGGTACCTCGCAATGAGAACTCCGCCTTTTGTCCGGGAACTCCGCTTTGCCGTCCTCCCAGTTGATCGCATAGCAGCGGTTAACTGGGCCTCTCTGTCCAGTGCAAAAGAGCAGCACCAACTTTTCCAAGTAGTATATGCTACTATTCATGCTGGAAATAAAATTTCCTATTTGCTCAAAGCTGGGGAGGGTTTTATAGAGGTGACCTTTTCCGGAACACAATGTTATCTACTACTTGACATGATTCATGATTTTTGGAATTTGGACCATTTCTTACGACAGACTGTGCGACTGGCGAAACTCCCGTCATCAGAAAATGTTTGCTTTAAGAAGGGATAAAACTTTCGACCCCAGTAATCCTCATCGGCCGTTCCTTGACTCCCTTAAGTAGTGCCTGGCAGTTGGTCAAACTGATAAAATTATGGGCTTTGGCCAAATCCTGGCGGAAGCTTTGCGCTGATACAACAGATCGGGCATGCGAAACAGGAAGGAAATACCGACTACTTCGCACAACTGACAGTCCTAGTTTCGAGGCAGAAATTCATGCGCTCGGCAGTCGAATTCTGTTCTAATGCAAATCCCTTCTAGTTATCTAATTTCTTTACTTCTAACAGAATTCCCTATCGAAGTGAAAACCACAGAGGAGATCCTGCATTCTGGGGGTCTGTCATCTGGCGGGAGAAAAAAGGAATTCTAAAGTCTGCATTCTCACTCTTCCTTTGGTGAATTTTATTAAAAAAATGTTACGCACTGCCCTTCAAGAAGCAAATCAGGCATTCAATTTTTTTTCGACAGCGTACCCACCCACCACGCCACCAGAGACCCAGGATGCGCGGTTGACAAGGAGGAGAGGGAAGCAAGTTCATGGAACACTGGTTGGCTGCCTTACGGGTTTAATATCAAAATGTGGGGTCGAGCGTTAACCGTTTAGAAATCTCCCTAATGCAGGCGAGAATGCACCGATCCCCTCGGAACGCATTACCTAACGAAAAACAGCTCTAAACAGTTCCGGTTGCGCCCGAGACTTGGCATAACACGAGGGTTTCTTGCGTCTCTAAGGTCATCTTTATGAGTTCTGAGTACTGGACAGTTGCTGAGAGGGTATGCTTTGATTTGCTGAGAGGCCGGCGTGAACACGGACGACCTGCGGACGCAAAAACACAAACAGGAAAGGATTTTGAGAGATGATCCCAGTATGCACTTTTATAGGTCAAATTTGTTCTCCCAAGGTCGCAGTTTAGTTTGCCCTTCCGGATAAGACCAAAACAAAGGTCAGAGCCTTGAAGAGTCAACCCGTGGCTGCTGAACCTCGGTCGAATTTTATTTTTATTATCCTGTCGGGCGGTTCAGGGTTAGTTTAGGGTTTTTAGGCTTACGGAATATCATTCTAGCAGCAGAGATACTCCCTAAAAGCCCAGACACGCGTGTTGTTAGTTTCTTGTCAAGCGGTTCAGGGTGGAGAAACTGCTCTGAAAGTTGCCAAGGATCAAAATTTGCATTAAACACTTTTATGATACAGTGAGTGACAGATCTCATGAAATGCTGACCGAAGTTCCGAAATGCGCTTTAGACTGGGAAGGATTACTTAGGTGAGGCTGTAACATTGATTATCTTGCGGCATAATCATACAATATTTCGGACTCGCCAGGATGTCGGCCTTGAATGCATCTCTCTTCGACCTCCTGTAGACACCGCACTCGATAAAAAATGGCTACCTAATAAGCATGTATTTTTCACATTGATTTTCGATGGTCTTATAAATTCAAACATATTTTGTAAGAAAACATGCACAAAAATGTGCTTCCGTTTATTCGTTTGGTAGATGATCACGTTTTCTTCTCATTTTATACCAGAAGAAAGGGCATATTTTGGTTTTGAAAAGTTTTCTCATTCGCGAACTAATTTAAGTCATATCGGCCGCTGCAATAGTGTTTAGAAATTTCACTCTGCAAGGTGCATGCTTTCCGCGTAAGGGAAATCATATATTCCTCTATGTCTTTAAGAAGACACCATATAGAGTTCATAAAATTTGGCAAAGAATGGGGCCTATGTTGTACATTACATAAGGAGTATGGGTAAGAGGGCAATTACGATGCTGCATGAATGGACATTGCACGATCGTAAAAAATTTCAGAATTAAAAAAAATTTTAAACCGAAAGATATCCTTTCCCTGAGTATAAAATGTGCAGACAACGTGATTTTCTACCAAACGAGTCAACAAAAGCAAACTTTTTTTTACATGTTTTCTTACAAAATACGTTTCAGTTTAAAAGACCATCAAAAATCAATGTTAAAAATGCATGCTAACTAAGTTGTCATTTTTATCGAGTGCGGTTTCTACAGGAGGTCGAAGAGAAATGCATTCAAAGCGGACATCCTGGCGAGTCCGAAATATTGTATGCCTATGTCGCTAGATAATCAATGACATAACCCTACCTAAGTAATCCTTCCCAATCGAAAGCGCATATCGGAACTTCGGCCAACATTTCATGAGATCTGTCATTCACTGTACGTCGGCAAACAACTGCCACGGTGTTGGCTAACGCGTCTCTTTGGACCTTCGGTGCAGGGACGGTTAACGATTAGTCATTGCATAAAGACTTCTTATATGCCCCCTCTCCCTTCCCTCCCCTCAGGTTGACACAGAAAACGTCTCTCAATACGTCACTACGTTAAATTTCATCGAAATTATTGTTAGCATTATGGTTATGATTTGGGTTAGGGTTAGGGTTGAGACTAGGGCTAGGGTTAGGACATGGAAACGGGTACCTGGGGACGTTCCTACTCCGGTCTCCTGTAGGGGAGATCGTGAAAGAAATCCTCGCTCAACATTGCTGAAAGTGAAGAAGAAGAAGAAGAAGAAGAAGAAGAAGAAGAAGAAAAAGAAGAAGAGGGGTCGAGCACCGGAACAATCTGGAGTGGTGTATTGCATCCTGTGTCAAAACTGTTCTTGTAACTACACAGGCCAAACTGGACGCATGCTCGCATCGCGCATATACGAACATAAGCTGGCTGTGCAACGAGGCGCGCATTATCACAATTGGCCTCCCACGCCTACGAAATGGGTCTCGAGTTTAACCCTGCAGCCACCAAAATAGTCGCCCACGCCGAAAACGAAACAGGCATGGAATTGATTGAAGCCTGGGCCTCGCATGAGAACTCAGTCAATCGATTTACCGATCTGGTGCCGGCGTACAGAGCCCCCGAGCATTCACCTCCAGTCTTGCGCCGTCTGTCGACGATTGGCTTATATGCCCTATACTAATATACTAACCTCCTGGGATTAGGCGTAAGGCCACCTGTTATACGGGGAGGGGGGGGGGGCAGGATCCTATTTTCCTGTCCTACCCGAGTAAGGAACACTGACAGTTGAATAGTGAGGTGTCCATTGTCTCAGTCGTACTACCACCAAAACCCGTCTGCGTTTTATAATTTCAAACCGTCGAAAGTTCATTGGAAGTACAAGGGGAGTTAGGGGCACAGATAATACTGCAAATGAATACTTTTGTCTGTCAGGCCTTCCCCCTGCCCCCTCCCTCCTTTTAGCCGATACCCGCCTCAAATTCCCTGCCCACCTTCCTGACTTGCGGCCACAGTTTTACCGCAGCCCTGTCTCTTTTCCCTCAAACCGGCTACTACTGCCCCTCGTCCTCCAAGATGCTCCCAGTCTTTTTTCTGTCTCCAGTGCTGTTTAACAGTCTAATCGTGGTTAAAAGATCGAATCCCCCCCTGCATCAATTACGCACACCTTCCTCGTCTCGTCCTCCTCCCCCTAATGCGGATTAACCAATACCTCCCGTGCACAAGTTGTTTGCACTTTTTGAAGGCGTCAGTCACCGGCGCGAATGTGTGGCCGTTTCTACAACCGCAGCAGTTTACTGAAATTGCACTAGGCGCCCTCAAGTGGGGTCATAAAAATGCAACTCAGACACGATCTGACAAAAAGGCACAGTTTAGTTCTCTGAGTTCGGAAAACACTCCGCTAAGCGAAATAAACAAAGCCCTGGCAAGTGCCGGACATGAACTGCCCGCGCGCGAACTTCCGCAGTCCGAATTCCGGGTAAATTCCCCATGTGGCACAGTCGTTCAAGGCGCACCGCGTGTCCGTGTTTGAATTAGGCGAAAGAAAAAAACAACCAAATATGGCTCCGCCCCAGGATTAGTGGAGACCAAATACGCACGAAATGCCCATTTCTTTTTGCCTCTCTTCACCGCCCGTGAATGTCCAGATAAGGTGACCGGGGCGCCACAACAACACGCAATCGGACTGATCATGTCTATGGTCAGGACAACGGGTAAGATGTGGTTACGTAGCCCCACCGGATGGACACAATGCTGTTAAGGTTGACGTTAGGGGTTACGGTTATGGGCTAGAGTTGAGGTTAGGAGTTAGGACAACTATTTCTCAACCACTCAGCGTACAACAGCGCATTCCCAATATCTTTTCTTTTGCATACAACTACTTGACCTCGTCGCCTGCGGGTTCCCCAGCCCCATCTGCAAAAACGCCTATTACCGCCGGTCCCGTATTGTCGATGGTTGGGTTTTGTTTTCTTCAGGTGGGGCTGCACAACCACATCTGACCGGAAACGAGCCCGTGGCTCAGTGGTTAGAGGCGTTGGACTTCTAATTAACAGGTCGCGGGATGGAGCCCCAGGTGTTCCATACTTCGGGGTTGGATATGACTGACTGATGACGGATAATAAGCCAGAAATGGCCACTCCAGTCGCCCTTGTCTTTGTCGGAAATAACATTCTGCAGGCAGATGCATTATGCAAATCGTTGTTACTGTGTGGAGTTTTACTGCTGCTGCTGCTGCTGCTGCTGCTGCTGCTGCTGCTGCTGCTGCTGCTGCTGCTGCTGCTGCTGCTGCTGCTGCTGCTGCTGCTGCTGCTGCTGCTGCTGGGTCAACGCCAGGTTGATTGTCGAATTTCCAATCCATGCTTACCGTTTGACGGTCATCCACTCCTGTCCATACGTTGAGGCAAACAACTGGGTAGTCCAGCAGTTGGTCCGGTCCGTCACACTCCTGCGAAAACAAATAAACGGAGGCGGTTTTTTGTAAATTGTTTGCAGACTGATCTACACAAGCAGCGTACCCACGCTATCTGTCCGACAAAAACTCCCAGTATGATTAATCATTTGTGTTGGAAATAAGAGAGAAACAACCTCGTGGATTGGGTCATTGTCCCGTCCATCCCTGTTTGGCCCAGTACTTGGGACACGGGACATGCGTCGGCAGGGAGCGGCTTCTGATACCTGCAGTCCTGCCAACAAAAATGCACATTTATCCTAAGAACCCACAGTTTCCCGAATTCTGATGATTTGCAAGAAACATGAACAGACAGGGGAATTTAAGCAAAATACTTTGCTAGGTCTTCAGCAATGTAAGAAGAAACTATTTCAATTTCTTGCCTATTTTTGCCGAGGAAATTGGAAATAGGTGCGCAGTCAGCGGAAGAATTTTACAAAGTTCATATACTATTATCCACCGTTGATGGGGGCTATCTAAGTGAGTGGAGGTCCAGTGTGCGAGAAAATTTATGAAACATCAACCAGGTGGAAACGAATGAGCAGGTGATTTTACAAAATTAATTGATTAGAAATGCAACGTAAAGTCACTTCAGGAATGGAACTCTACTGGCTTTCGACTGACAACCTTTTAAACCACCCCTCCAAATTCAGAGCGAAAAATCCGACCTATTCAGGATGTATTTCCTTTCAGGGGGCTCCATGCACACAGAAGTTAATCCTATTTCTACGGAAAGGTGAACAAAAATAAACTTCATATTTCCATTACAAGGGAACACAGGCTTTCTCTAAAATTGGTTTTGTAGAGTGGAATGCATTTCTACTTGACTAGTTTGATAGTAGCTGTATATTACGAAACGCGACCTAAGCCCACACCCCTTCTTAGAGTTGTTAGACTATGTGCGTGCCATTCTTCCGGAAAGAGATTTCCATGGCCCTAGGAGGCCTCACTAAGCGTCTTTTGGCATTGAGAGAGGGAGAGAACGACAATGAGTACCATTCACGTCACAAATTTGATGAGTAGAATTAACACAATCCTGGTGATAGTAGACTCCGCGGGTAAACAAGCAAGGACCCCCACACGTCTTGTGGATACAAGTTTTTTGGCAACACACGGGAATAGAAAGGCCTTCCTATTCTGGGGACCTAACACTAATTCCCGTGGAGATTGGGGCTAGGGTTAGGGTCATGGCTAGGGTTATGACACGAGATTATTTACCCCAATTAAATTTTTATGTAAAACCATATGTATTGCCGGGGGGGAGGGGGGCTGGAAAGAGGGGGAGAGGGTCCCTATTTGGGTGCCTTACCGTTTGATGAGCAGAATTAATATACACGTGGAAATAATGGACTCGGTGGACAAGCAAGAAAGTGTCTCGAAACGTCCCCCTGCTGCAAGTTTTTTTCTTTTTTAAAATATCGAAATACTACCTTTCTTCGTGCGCAAACTTTGATTGCGAACTACTTTACTGAAAAACGAGCATTAGAAAGGACTTCGGCATGCATTCATGCCGTAAAATACTATTGGCTGGCAGAACTCCACATTGCTAATATGGTGAGATTTCTCAAGCGTAATTCACATGACGGAAGCCCAGCCAACAGACTGCGTGCCACCGTATAGGGATTTGCTTGGAGTCTTCATTCCTGGTAATCTAATTTACAATAAGTCACCTTGAGAGCGCAGAGTGGACTTTAAATGATGCCTTTCGAGCTTCGGTGCATAATGTGCATTTCAGCCTAAAACAGGAGCCTCCTAAGTAGTCAATAAGTCCTTTGGTAGAACAAGGGAATAGTTAACTCACCGTATTAGGGGTGGCCTTGTGTTAACTTCCAGGGTTGGAGCTAGTACACGGGAATAGGTACCCAAACAGGGCCACCTGTAGTTCAGGGGAGGGTTCCTACTGCTGCGGGGCACCATTTTTCAGAGTTAGGCCTATCAACCCGTTTCAGGGCGCAGGAATTTCTGTTTTCCTGTGTTCCGATGATGCGGCAGTTCGAAGGTCGATTCCAACAATGCCCGCTGTTCGCCCCACAGCAGGGTGAGAGCAGACACGATGCGTGATTTCTTTTTTATAGTGATGACAAACTTGTCCTGCATCTACTGCACTCTCTTTCTCTCCCTTCCTCACTCTGGGTCCGACGTCATGGCGATGTCAAGAAGACCGCAGGATAGAGAAAGTGCAGGTGGCTAGTACGATGAAAACCCGCGCTTAAGAGTACCGCCAGACACCTTGGTTCAAAACACACACTAACCAGGGTTTTACACAAGAAAACAAAGGGGGGGACGGTTCGGAACCTTAGTGGCGCGGAGTGAGTCGACACCTAGACGTGCCGCCACATCCCCGATGCCATCATTTGTTATGGGTACTCATTCCCAGTTATGCCTCTCGGAGCCCTCTCTGGTCTCGGATGATATACAGAAACTTGCGTAAAAAACAAACTACCTTCCAGTGTATATTCGAGGCTCAAGTAAAGTTGACTACTTAGAGGAGGAAGTGAAATTTGAAAAGTAATTTGAAAATGCCTCACTGCTGGTCCCCAAATAGGTAGAAGAGTTCTTTGATTTGCGTTTGGATAAATAAACTGGGTGTGTATATTGTATAGCAGCTGGCCTATCTCTTGAAGTTTTAAACGAAATTCTGAAAAGCTGTTTTCGGCGGGAAAGAATTACCTATGTAAAGTTGTAATATTGATTGTCGCGCCGCGTATCTCAAGAGACCTCAGTCACGTCAGGATGTTGGTTTTCTTTTCGTCCGTCCGCAACGACGACAGTTTATAAAAATGGTTGTTTAAGTAGTATGCATTCTTCTCCCTGACTTTCGGTGTGTTTATACACCCAGATATACTTTATAGAAAACATGCAAAACAAATCCTTTCTCATACTCATTTGGTAGCAACTTACGTCTTTAAATTTTGTGCCCGAAAGAAGATTACCTTAAGGTCTTGAAAGACTTTTTAAAATTCCAAATACTTTAGAGTTCGACCCGCAGGTTCGCTTGCGTTTCGGATTCCTAAATTACATGTTGTATATGCTCTGTGCAAGAAAAACCCCGCTTTCTTTTATGCTACTAGGAGAACGTCATGTAAGACTCATTAAAGTTTTCAATGTATGTGAACCGTGTTTACACTTCATAGGCACCTGCATGAATAAATATTTGATGGTGTCAAAAAGTTCCATAAATGCGATTCTTTAAGCTGAGAGATACCATTTTTTTGAGAATACAAATCTGAGAACACGCAACTTTTTACCAAACGAGTACAAGAATTAACATGTTTGTAAACTTGTTCCCTACATATCTTTTTAATTTATGAGGGCATCGAAGGTCGACGAGAAAAACGCATGCTACTGAACTAGTTATGCTTTTTACCGAATGTGGTCGTTGAAGGCGGCGGGGAAAAAGCGCTTTCAAAGGATAGCATTCTGGCATGGCCGAAATATTCTAGGATTATTTTACACGATAATCAATATTACGACCTCATTAAGAAAAACTATCTAATAGAAAACGCATTTCAGGAATTCGGTTAAAATTTCATGAGGCGTGCAGGCTATTGTATGCTGTTGAATTCTTGAGAATTTGTAGTTGTGGGTTTGCCGTAATCATTCCCTCTGTCATTGGGATGTGACCTCGAAATAGGAACCGTAAAGTTGAATTTGCGAGGACGCGAGTGATCGTGGGCTTGTACTTGAAACAAAAATGATGGGCTTGACGGATAAGAAGCATCCAATTTAGGCGTTGACAAGTTATTGAGTGATTCTTTTAACTAAGTCAAAACTCCCCCTGTACCTTTGGCGACCAGTTTGTTTGTCCGCATTACGCGAGTCAGCTTGCTAACGAAATATCCGAAAGTGTAGCAATGATGTTTCGACAGTGAATTATGGCACTGGTTCAATGATTCGGTAAATTCCCTTTCCATATTTTATGGCGTTTAAATGTTCTTGTCTCTAGCATTCTCTGCTTAAACGTACATTCTGGGGCTTCAGCCGCAATTCCCAACCAGTTGCCCCAACTGTGCCTAAGACCCTCTTGCTTCCATCTTAAGATAATCCATTTTCTGTTACGCGCGAGAGGTTAGCTGGCAACTTTGCACCCGCCACAACCGACTGTTCGCGTCATTAAGTTGTTAACCTTTTCTTATGCTCTCTCTCCCTCGACCCAATCAGCCCTTTTGCACACACTCCAAGTGGCGGTAGTCTCAAAATTTTACCATTAAATCACTATTTTTCACCTGTTTTAGGACTAACTCGCACCTGCTGGCGAATGACCCGTCCAGGATAAGGCGTTTTTTATTTACAGCAGAATAGACTGGCGAGGCTACAAGGGTTTACGGCAACTTTGACGTGGATATGGGACCACCCGTTTAAAGCTCAGTCGGATGAACGGGGCCAGACGGCAGGGATTTCAACAGGTGGCTCCATCCACCAAAAAATCACAAGAAGCAGTTCAATAAAGTGACCTACACAAAGAACGCAACCCTCGTTACTGTAAGAACTTCCAGCACCGTTAACTGATGTGCCATATATAAAAGACAAGCAAATCCTCGTAGGCCACGAAATCACATTAACGACCTCAGTAAGGGGCCACGGGATATTAAGGTCGTTTTTTCATTTATTAAATTATCATTGTCATTTATTATGCTCATTATATCCTTACCGATCTGACGCGCTTGAAGCTACCACGGTGTGCTAAAAGCCGTGGTTTGGAAGATTGCCAACTGACGGGATAACTTGGGCCTCGCAGTCGGCCCAGTGCGTGTTTGCGTGGAGTGGTGGACTAGTGGTCTGTAAGTCAGGCCTCAATGGTTCCTTCTTAATGCGGCCTGTATGGCGCTCCCACGTAGTGGGATCCAAGCCGGGTGTGGAGGCACGCCTAGGCGCCGATCCGGTCGCGCCAACCGTCGCTCTTGTTATTGTTGGTTAAAATCCTGGTCAAGTGTTTGCTGTGGACCAGATAGTGTGACGGTGCACCTGGGTGCCGGCCCAGCCCTGCCGCCCACCCCCCCCCCCCGCCTCCGATGTTCTTGACACTGTATTGACACCGGGCCCAGGTGGGGGAGGAGGAGAGAGTGCTGTAGTTGTGCAA